TGTTTTTTCACTCTTGTAAAATAAACCATTTAAAATTAGAGGTTACTGTATGTGTGTGTGAACTGGACTTCTCAGTATCAATGCACCACCAGATTTGTTTTCTTTCAAAGCTCCAATGTTTAAAAGACAGCTCCTTGTGAATTTTAACAAATTTTATTTAAATCATATTTAGACATTTTTAGACTGCTTAGCTTTTTGCATATGCACAATCATCAATTCAAATTGGAAAATTACTGTTCAACAGGTATTTATGCAAAATACCTGCATAAGACCATGTGAAGCAGAATATCACAAACTCAAAATAGGTTACAGTCACAGTATGCATCTTGTGTGAGAATTGGATTCAACCTCTTTAATTAATCTGTGTACAATAAAAAATGATTCTGTTAATGTTGTCTTTTAATGGCTAAAACAGAATATCTTACCTAAAGATATAGGAGACATATTTAATTTTGCTATTCACGCAAATGTGTGTATTCCAAAACAAAATATCCACCCCCATTACATACAGAAATTAGGTACACTAACTAACCAGAGTGTGTTACAAAGAGCAAAGTTTTTTGTAGACAATCATGTGGTTACGCCAAAATAATGGGGTTATATCTCAGAAATGAAAGCAGCTTGGACGCTACTTTCAAGGGCACAAACGAGCACTAACAAATGAGAACTAACAGTTTGGTTACACACATCCATTCATCCATTTTAACTCCGCTTTTCCCGGTGAAGGTTGCAGTAGTGATGTTACAACCTCCCCTAAAAAAGGTCCTTCAGTGTATATCTCGGGAATTAAAGTAGCACAAAAGTTACTTTCAACACTACACACATTAAAAACAGTACAGAGTACAACTCCTTTTTTAATTTTGAAGCGGTCTGTTACATCAACTACAGTATATGAGGTTGATGTAACAACTGATGTAATCTGAGCTGTGATTAGTGTTGTTCTTGCAGACCACCTTCATCTAGATGCCATTACTAGCACCAATAATTTGCAAGCGATCACTTAAATTATATTGCATAAATATGCAGAATACTGTACCTCAACGGCAAATTGCTATAACAGTCATTTAAATATACTAATAGAAATACAGTGGGGACGTGTATTAGTTCCAATGTAACAATGTAACAATGTAACTTAAACAAGCGCCGTCCTTCGGATGAGACGTAAAACCGAGGTCCTGATTCTCTGTGGTCGTTAAAAATCCCAGGGCATTTCTCGAAAAGAGTAGGGGTGTAACCCCGGCGTCCTGGCCGAATTTCCCATTGGCCCTTATCAATCATGGCCTCCTAACAATCCCCCTCTATGAATTGGAAATCTCCTCCCCATGGATAGCTGATGTGTGGTGAGCGTTCTGGCGCACTATGGCTGCCGTCGCATCATCCAGGTGGATGCTGCACATTGGTGGTGGTGGAGGGGATCCCCATTACCTGTAAAACGCTTTGAGTGGAGTGTCCAGAAAAGCGCTATATAAGTGTAAGCAATTATTAATTATTACTATTATTATTATTATTATAACTTACTGTGCAGTACATACATGATGGACAGGGTCATTCAAATCAAAATATTTTAATCTGGCTTCCATTTTATTTTTTTACAGTATATGTGTATTTGCCTTTAAGTACAGTATGATACAGCATTGTTATAAAGCCACTACAGAATGTGTATATTTTTATAATAAAAAATCTGCAATAAAAACCTGTTTATACAGTAATTACTATTTATACATAATTGCCAATAATTTTGCATACTGTAACGCATATGGCTGACAGGTACTGTGTAAGAGCCGGCTTACCAGAGCGGTGACATCGCCGCTCTTCCCTGCAATGGCAGGACCACAGCCCCTGGGCTGTGGAGAGATCTGTCTTTAGCTCACCAGGCTGGGTTCATGTTGAGTGATGCGGGAGTCCCAGGTTTGAGCCCCCAACGGTGCGGGGCTGACCTAATGCAGCAAGGGTGCCCACCTGAACCCCCGTTGCGTTACAATACTCTATGTAATTAACAACAGATAATTCTATTAAACAGGGCAGTGTGACCATATTAGTCTATACAATATTGTGATATAATGTAGTTTGTCATTTTGAGTTGTGGTGGCAACATGGCAACAACATCTTGTCTCAACAGCATAATTACTCACTGAGTCGCATAGATCTGTAAGCCTAACTCATAGCAAATGACAACTGCCTCCAGAGCTCTCATTCTCCTTCCCTCTTATACAGGAGCCCAGACAAAGTCTGAAAAACCTTTTTCCTTCTGGTTGCTCTTAACCTTCTCAATTCCAAGGGAGTGGCCGATTCCACACAGAGCCTACCGAATCTGTTCCTTTCCTCATACAGTATATATATTCCTCATATACTGTATCTAATGTACAAATTAAGCACAGTTATGATTCATTTTAAACTACCTTTTCTTATTAAACAAGTGTCTTCCCAGAACAAACTGTGTTGAAATGTTAATACATCTATAAGACAGTTATATTCCTTTTATCACTTTATAACTGATGAAAACAATAATCAAAGTAATCAAAGTGAGAATGTTCTGTTTTGAGACACTTGTACTATGATACAGTAAGTCTAACAAGAAGAACTGTTTGGTAGTGAGAGCTGGCTTTGGAAGGGACATCCTTAAATAAAGTATAAATAAATATGAATTATATTTGTATAATATAAAACATAGCCATTTGTCAGTCCAAGGGCTGAATGTTTTAAAAGGAATACTAACTACTCAAAGGTACATAAAGATGAGCATGGATGGGAATCCTGAATGTGAAAAACTTACTACATAGTCCAAACAGCATTAACCTGCAGTCACATTGTTTGCTTATTCCTTTCTGGATAATTATTTTAACCTTGAGTTGTATTGTTTAACCACATTAGCAGTGTCAGTATGGAGCACTCTAGGATACATAGATATCCAAGAAACCTCCCCAATGTCTGGATACTGGATACAACACTATTACTGTAACTGTCAAGTGCCTTTTTTAACCAATGATAATATACTAAGTTTATTAGTGCTTATCCCCAAAGGGCTGGTTGCATTTGAATCCAACCTCTGAAGGACAAACTTTACATTGAAATATTTTTTATTACAGTATATGCCATTTGCAAGGAGGACAGTCTTCACATTACTAAAACTGCATATGTGTTCTAGCAGCTGTCTTTTTGTTCCCATTAGTTTCTTAGCCTAGGAACAGATTGTGTATCAAAGACTGAATGTCTCCTGAAGAAATAACAGAACCTCAGAGGTGTTAGCTTGACTCTACAAAAAAAACAACAACAACCAATTCCACAGGTGAAATTAGATTCCTTTCAAACCTCCATCTTAGTTAGCTTTGTTTGCTTTAAAGCCTTAAACGCCTCCAATCTGTTTTGATTTCTACTATTACTACAGAAGCAGGCACCTAGAATGCCATCAAAATTCACATTAGCAGAAAGAGCACTGTGGTATGCTATCATTCTGTTTAACATGCTGAATTCAGCCCTCAAGAGAAGATCCATAAGTGGCACTTGAATTATGTTAGATGTTACTGAAACCTTACAGTAGTTTCATTCAATGTTTTTGTTAGTCTCATAATCATAGTTCTTGAAAACATAACATATTGTATATAAACATATAAAATACATAGCCTAACTACCATTTTACATGGCTGTACATTTTCTAAAAGGGGATTACATGCTCTGAATCGAGCTTACTGTAGATCTATTAGATTGAAAACTCTTGCATTAGACTGCTCTGTATTGTATTGTATTTCTGTCTACTTTTTAAAATCAGTTTAATTTGAAATAATGTAACTACTGTAAATGAACATTTTGGTATCTAGAAACAAAATTAACCAAAATATAATCATGTTTTCAAAATTTATTAACAATATTATTTTATTAACACGAATATAATGTATTTATATAGCCGGTAGTGGTAGGTGAAAATAAAAAATAAAGTACAAAATAGTATTCTTCATTATTCTTCAACTTCTTTAACTCAGTCAGTCACTTGTTGTGATTATATAGGGAAAGTTTTGTCATGCTCATGGAACCCAGAGTGACAAGTGCTAAGTTGCAAAATTCTTGCCTTTCATGCAGGAGGTCTGGGTTTGATCCCACCCAATATGCAAGCTGTATTTCTAATAAATTGTCTCTTGGGAATAATAATGACTCCATAATAATAAAATATTATACTGTGAATAATATGTAGCCATATATTTTTTTTAATTAATTTTAATTAGCATAAATGAGCATATGTCATTTTATATAGAATACTATGTACTGTATATGGGATAAGTGATCTGAGCAAAAGACAAGCCTTCAGGTTTTACTATTCCCAATCCAGACTGTGCCCATTGATACATAAAGTGTTATAACAAAGCTGACTCTCTTCTGCTGTGTCTTGACACTGGGTGACAGTTTTGATCCATTTTATTTTTAATTTTGAAACAGCAAATGGTGAGACCACCATTGTGGAACACACCTTAAGTCCAAAATCCAGCACTGAATCCACCTGTTCCTTATTAATTACTCCACTTAGTCTGTGGTGTGTGCACTGGTCCTATCCGCACATGACCACTGTAACTAACTTTTAACTGGTCTCCCTGCTTATCTTATCCACCGCTTTGCTCTTGCTTTTTTTATTTCAGTTTTATTTCTGTAGTGTATTTCAATTGCAGTATTATTGTATTTCTCTTTAGTGCATTTTTAGTACACATGGGACCAATGTGTATTCAGTTTTTCTCTTTAAAAGAGACCACCACAAATAAGTTCAATATAGACAGTAATAAACTGCTTTAGGTGATTAAGAGACGAGTTGGAATGAAAAACTTCAAACACACCAGTTCACCAGGAGAAGACATGGAAAACCATGCCTTAGAGGTTGCCAGCCACTATCTAACTGGGTGAACACAAAATGTAATGTGGAGCTACACCATGAATGTGGTGGTGTTACATTACCAGGCACTCACCTACATAAATTGACACACCATGCCCACAGAGGATAATTTAGAGATGGCATTTACCTGGGCAGCAGGTTTTGGGACAATGGAAGGAAACTGGCACTGGAAGGAAACCCAAACAGAAATAGGAAGTAAACATAAAATCTATACAAAAGACACCCCAGTCAGGAACCCAGGACCGAAAAACTGTGAGGGAGCAGCAATGACCTCTACACCATACTGCAGCTCTAAAAAAATGGATAATTTACTGAAAATCTGTTCAGTATTTCAACTTAAAATGCTAAAATGTATTTCATTTCTTATTGTCTGTTTTATTTCTAGGATTTATATATCTTCCTAAAAGCTATTTCTTAAGTTTCTAACCTCATTTAACAGGCAAGGGACCTTTTCCTGTGTGTGTTATAAAAATTGTATTTATACAATGAGATGTATATTCATATCATTGCAGAAGAAATTTTGATGGTCTACATAAACACTTAACAATATGAACTGTACCATTTACATCTTATATTTGGAGATACAGAAATGTCTTAATATGAATATTTCTCTTGCTCTTCATGAATTACACGCACAGTTACTTGCGAGGTTCTTTAGACTTAAATGTGATTTAGACTTATTGAATATATGTGAAACTGAAGCCTTCACAATTATGGAGAGGCTCTGTTCTAAAGCTGTTTACAAGAAACAATTCTCAATCTTAATTCTGAAGATCTGTGTACCATCACTGTCACTGACATCAGACTGTTACCCACTCCACACAATTCTCTTTGCGGAGTGGATAATGCTGATGTGCTCTTTCTGTGTAAGGAATGCTGTAGCACTCATTATGATACAGAGAGATACTGTAGCTAAAATGGAAAAAAGATAAAGCCTTTTTCTCAACTTAATTTTTTAATCCACTGAATTTTTCTTCAGCTTAATGCAGCCTTTCTTGACTTCAATTTAAAATGCTCTTGACTGATCATTGAAGCAGGGAGAGCAGCTGAGAGTGTTCTAGTTAGATATATGTTATTTTCAACCTGCAATACATGATTTAGAATGCAGAATGTAGGCTTGCATTACAGTAACAGTCTAAACTATCACCCTTTGTTGTTCCTTGCCTGTCTTTTCAGAAAAAAAGGATTCAATTTTATAACAATTTTTTATTTTATAGGGGCGGAGCGGTGGCTCTGTGGCTAAGGATCTGCGCCTGTGACTGGAAGGTTGCCAGTTCAAATCCTGCAGCCAGCAGAGGAATCCTACTCCATTGGGCCCCTGAGCAAGGCCCTTAACCCTAACTGCTCCAGGGGCACTGTACAATGGCAGACCCTGCACTCTGACCCCAAGCTTCTCTCCCTGTCTCTGTGTCTGTCTCCATGGAGAAAAAGCTGGGGTATGCAAAAAGACACATTCCTAATGCAAGAAATTGTATAGGGCTAATAAAGAAACATTATTATTATTAACATTTTCATAATTTACATATTTATAATAATTGCATTCTGGACACTCCACTCAAAGCGCAGATAATGGGGACTCCCCTCCACCACCACCAATGTGCAGCATTCACATGGATGATGTGACGGCAGCCATAGTGCATCAGAACACTCACCACACATCAGCTATCAGTGGGGAAGAGGACAGAGTAATGAAGCCAGTTCATAGATGGGGATTATTAGGAGGCAATGATTAGATAGGGCCAATGGGAAATTTGGCCAGGACACTGGGGTTGCACCCCTACTCTTATAGAGAAACGTCCTGGGATTTTTAAAGACCACAGAAAGTCAGGACCTCAGTTTTCATCTCATCCGAAGGACGGTGCCTTTTTACAGTATAGTGTCCCCGTCACTATAGTGGGCCATTAGGACCCATACAGACTTCAGGGTGAGGACCCCCTGCTGCCCCCACTAACACCTCTTCCAGCAGTACATTTAGTTTTTCCCTGGTACTGACCAGGCTCATACCTGCTTAGCTTCAGTGGGTTGCCAGTTATGATTTGCAGGATGATATGGCTGCTGGCTTATTAATAAACAACATTTATGCCAAGCTCTAAATGAATAGTGACCTACTGGATTTGTTTCTTTTAAAAAAATATCAGAATCACTTTTTTTCGATTAATCCACCTTATTCTCGTTTCGGCTCATGGTTGTGTGCACATGGTGGGAGGGGAAATGGTGAATGAGGAAGTTTAGGCAGAAAAATTTTAGCAGCCAGCTTTTGAGCCATACTTTTAACACATCATAGACTATGCAGTACAGTACAAGAGGTTCAGTGCTGATTGGAGGATTGGTGTTTCTCACACTGACAGTACCACATGCCTGCATAAAATGGGAAGTCATAGATGTCACAGTGTTATCAGGGGCTGAGAGAGCCCTGTCTAACTCATCGCAACACACTGCTTGATGAGAAGACAGACAGCTAAAGCCACTGCCAGTTTCAACACTGGTCCTCATAATAGTATCCATTAACATGATAGGAAAGCAAACTGAAAAATGAATTGATCCTGAGGACTAAAAAGTGATCTAAGCATATTGTGCAGGCTAAAGTCATAATGATCAAACATGAAATCAGCATATACTTGTGTTGGTGCTCCTGTCTCTCTAAATACCTTAATCTAAATATAAACTACAGTACTTATTGAACCCAGTCCTACAAATTAATGAAAATGACATTCAATGACTATTACTTAATAGGTAAAATCATATCCCAACCAAAAAAAATCCTTAGAAGCTGTACAGTACTGGCACTTAGTATCTGAAACACAAGACGTCTGAGAGTCAATACAGTAGAGCCCCGAAGAGTGTGTGGGACTTATCATAATTTGTGCACATATGGAACATTTTGTTTCTGCTGCGGGTGGGAGAGAAATTTGATCTACTGATCTAAGCACCTGGGACCAGGTAATTAGATATTAGATATAGTACTCATAACCTTTTAATTTGCAAAGGATGTACTGATAGCCCAGATTTAGGAATCGACTTTCTCAATTTATCAGTAACAATCAAACAACTTAAACTCCTGTAAATTAACACATGTGCTGCATTTCAGTAAAGCCTGTAAAAGCACTAATGTAGCATTGTAGAATGCAGAGCAGAAGGAACAGTTATCAACATTCTTTTTAGATATAGTAACTTGAACTAAAGTAATTGAAAGTTTTTTTTTTGTTTTTGATAGGCTTTTTACATTTCTCTTTTTTTTAAATTGTAATGGATGTTTAAAACCGAGTTGGGTTTTGTGAGTGGTATTGTGTACGAAGTAGAAATTAATTTAATCAAACATGAGTATGTGGTCCTCAATTGCATTAATTGGTAGACATGGTTGACAATGTTGTAGATAGTGGTGGGATTAAGACAGAGAAAACAGTCCTGGTCCAAGTCAAGGTATCTGTTGATACCAAGTAGCTGTTGAAATATTTGTCAGAGTCATTTATAGCATCTTTCCAAATGTGTTCTCCTGACACAAACTGTCTGTCTTATGTAAGAAACCCCTTCAACAAGCAAGGCAAGATTATACTTGAAAAGGACTGGAAAAACAGAAGAACTGCATGTGAACTGAACTAAAGATTACTGTAATTCACTGACAAAATAAAAAATATGCATGTATATATGTATCATATTTTATTTATGGTTTGTGATGTTTGCTAAATAAATCGGAGCTCAAAATCCACCATTCTAAAAATTATTATTTAATTTTAACATTTGTTATTAAATTATAACATTTACATGTAAATGTCATTATGGGCAAAATATAATATCAGTCTTATATAACATTTTTGTTTGTTTTGACCTATTATTATAACGTGGGCAGCATCTGTTCCATTTTTCATCCCCTGACAGTGCCCTATAATTCAGTTCTACTGAAGTTGTCAAAACGTTTAACAAGACTGAGTGGCTTTGTGATAATTGATTTGTATACTTGTTTTACATTATTGGATTAAAAAACATAAAAAATAATGAAAACAAAACTGTACATTTCTATTAAAAATGTAGTGTGAAAATGACACTTATTTTACTTATATCTGGTCCTATATTGTTGTTGTGTTTGGGTATCCAAGCATCCATTAATTTTACCACTAGGGTATCTTTAATTCCAAAAATTATGTAATCATTTTTAGTGTCTAATTGCCCAGTACTTACAATTTGTTATTTTTACACTATATGTGGATGGAAAGGTGACCAATAAGCAAGGGTGTCATTAATCTAATTTCTGACACTGCACGCTTATTTCTTTCAGTTGTAGCTCCTCATATCGATCACTAACCGACCTTTGTGCTCCTGTGAGACACATACTGCAAACGAAAAATGGGTCTGTTTTTATCTTGCTGTGTCACATTATCACTACATGATTCACACGCAACTCACTCTGCTGGAAATCCCACTTAATATCCTCTTAACTACCTCTTCACTTTGAGAAAAGCCAACACAGGCAATGGGTACAAAATCCAAATAAATAACTTTTGTACCATTGAAAAGACCTGAAAGACCTTATCTCCACAGATAATTAATATTTCAAGAGGAACACTTTAAAAATTCTATTTATTATTCTGTATTTAATAAAGATCTCTGCAGTTGCAGATCCAAATTTAATCAAAAGTATACAGAGCATCAAAATAAACTTATTATTAGTTGTTTTTGGCATAATTTTTAATTTGATTATTACTGTGGTACACTTGAGTGACCTGCATTATCACCTCTTAAGTTAAAGAGACCAAATAATGCAAAGCCTGGTAAAAAATGAAGAATGAAAAGCAATGGAAGAAATAATTATATCCTGATTATAAAGAGAACAACACTTTGTGCCATTGGTATGGTTGATGGTACCACAGCAGGACTTACTGTACCACTTACTGTACCACTGCCTCTTTAGCAAGGTTTTGTGTAGACCACCCTGATAGACATCACAGTGTGGAAAAAACATGCATAACAATAAAATAATTGTTCTGAACAATAAACCAAATGATGGTGAGATCCATGTCTGATAGTTTGAGCTGAAGTGTCTGTTACAGAACTCCACTTGTAGAGATATTTTCAACCTAACTATACTGTACCTCACTACATTAACGAATTCCTATAAATTAATTTGCTTTTGGTTCACTCTGATGTGACAACATTCCAGCTGCTCATTAA